CGAAAATAGTAGATGTTGAACCAATAAAATATTCAAAAAATATTCAAGATCAACATGAATTTTTTTCGGCTGGGTGTTGTTAGCCGAAAATTTACTGCGCCTTCGGCTGAATTTTTCGGCTAACTACACCATTATGAATTTATTTATTAAAAAAATATTTATTAGGTAAAAAATTATAATTAAAAAACATAATACAAACTTACTAATTATTAAAAACATTATATGAATTTAGTATGAATTTACTTATTAAAATATATATTACATGAATTGATTTATTAAAAACATATGTGGACATAGAATCGTCCAAATTTGATTTGAAATATCCTACAATATTAAGTTTTTAATCATGTTAAATAAATTTTATTGAATTATTTATTTTAGTTAGAAATGAAAAGAATTTTTTTAAAAAAATTGTTTTTTATAAATTCTTCTTTTAAGGCCAATTACAAGATTATTAAATCAAAGCGTAAAAAACAAATTAAAATATTTTAGATGAAAAAAAAAATAAAATAAATTATTTATTTATTTCAAACAAAATTAAATTATATCTTATCAATACTTTTGTTTCTGCAAATAAGTGTTAAAATTTATGGTATATATCATACTCTTAGAAAGGGCCGGTCACCGGCCCTAGGGTATGACTCTAATTTTATATCAAATTTTAATAAATAGATCTTTATACAAATCAAATTATTATTGGCCAACTTTTATAAGTAATAACCTTTTAATTTTAATAAGTAAATATTATAATTAGCTTGAATTATTTACAAGTAAAAACCTGTATTATAGGTGCAAATATTGCCCTATAAAAATAAATGTCCAGAAAATGTCTATGAAAATATCCGGAAACTGTCCAGAATAAATCTGGCTTGTCCAGAAATTGTCCAGAAAATGTCTATTTTTTGCTACAAATGTTACTTAAAATTTTGACATATCTGGAATTTGTCCAGAATTTATCCAGAATTTGTTCAGTATAAAATTTTGGACAAATTCTGGACATACAGTCAAACCTTGATATAACGAACCCTTGATATAGTGAATTTTTCAGACAACTATAATAAATTTCCCCTTGTTATAACGAATTAACCAATCAAATCTCTTAAAATCTTCACTATAGCCCTATAGCGAAGTTGAGGTCTAGAACCTAGGGTTTGTTATAACAAGGGTTGACTGTATAAACCTGGACAAATTCTGGACATAATAAAAATTCAGATAATTTGAATTGAACAAATTCCGGACATGAAAAAATTCTGGATAAATTCTGGACGCTACTTCTAAAAAAGGATAAATTAATTTTGTAAAAAAATGCAAAAAGCACAAAACTGACATTCATAATCTTCTTTGTCATACTAATTAAATTTGCTGAGTAGGCAAAAATACTATATATTTATAATATAAAATTTTAGGTTAAAAGTAATTATTAGTGTTCTGAAAGAATCAGATCAAACCTGGATCATTTGACCCAACTTGTGTTTAGAATCTGAATTAGGTTTATCATTATTTAACATGAGTCCTGTATTCAACCTGATTTGTCAGGTCAGGGTCATGCCTTTGCTAAGTTTGCTTGACCTGGGTTGTCCTGAGTTGTCCTAGATTTTATATGATATTTTAGAGTAATATATTTATGTTACGAGTCTTGTATATAAAATGAAAAAATATAGTAGGTTCTTAGATCATATTTTTGGTAAAAGTAAATCACCAACAAAATGAAGTAGAATTGTCTTTAAAAATCCTTGAGCAGATCAATTAAGATGTTCTACTGTATAAGAAGTTATATTATTTAATCTTACTAATTTATTAATAACACATATAGCTAAATAAAGTAAAGTACTATTCATAATTTACACTGAGCATTACTGCATTTTATTAATTTAAGAGGTAAAGAAAGCCAAGCTATTTTGAAATGTACTGAATATTTCTATTTTTCATTGTAATATAAAATTCGTTTAGTGATATGTGGATGTACTTTAATTATTTAAAAGTTTGACCTAAAGAATTATTTCTTTTTTTTCTATTTTTTTTTTAGTAACATCTTTTTTTTGTATGATATTATATAATTTTATTTTTCATGGATAAATAACATGAAAAATATTTTCTTATTTCTTAAATGTAAATAAAATATATATTTGTATTGAAAATGATATAGTAATAATGAAAAAATTTTTTATAAAATTTTCATATATATCCATAAGAAAGTAATAAGATAACGTTATATAATGAATAATTTATGTCATCTGTTTTTATTAGGCTGATTTTAAAAAAAATTGGTGAAAACAGTGTGATGGACTTTTCCTTTAGTTATTGATCACTGTGGACTTTTTTTCAAAATTCAGATTACTTCAGATTGCTTTTTTTTTAAAAAAAAAAAAGAATTTGAAAAGGATATATAAAAAAGTATTTGCCTATTTTTTACTATTCAATTATTAACTTTGCCAAAATTTCTATTATACCTGCTAAAATCTCAACTATATCCTACATATGTAATTCTATAGAATATCTGACTTAAGATTAGTACATAGTTAAAGAAATCATAGAACTGATAATAATAATGTGATCAAAGTTATTTATTTTAAGGTCAAGCTTTTTATTCTATCTGACTGAAATATATCAATCCAAATTGACAATTTTGAGACATCATATTTTAAAAAGAAAGTTTCAGTTGTGAATCTTCTAATAAGTGGTATTTTATAAGTATCCAAATTTTTCAATATATAAATGATTATTTTTTTGTTAATTTTGCCTCTTAACAATAAAGTTAGATGAGTGACAGGAACTTAGAATGGAAAGTATTTCCTTAGGTAAGGAAAGAAGGAAAGCAAACCTGGTAGTAGGTTTCTTACATGCTTCATAGAATGTTATTGTAAAGGGTAAGTGATTGATGGGTCATGATGTACAGTATTCAAAAAGCTTTTCAGGAATTTTGCATCTTAAATATATTAAATAAATAATAAGTAATGACTAATGACTCTAATACTATTATAATTGTCTACTGCCTACAAACTTTATTTCTATTATTTTCAATTTTTATTTTTGATTACTTTAATAAATTTAATTTTTTTTTAATATACTCATTTATTACATAAAATTCCTAATAAATTAAAAAATTGGTATAGTTTGCCTAACAATCTTAGACCCCTACAATTAAACAATGCACTACCTCTAATGTAAATTTCCAATCCACAACTTTTTTTATTAATACTTTCATATTAAATTTTCGTAAAAATTCCTCTACTATCATATCTTCCTAGTATAACGTGACGAGCGTGGGTACTGGTGATAAAGTACTGGCTAGTTTTTATATAATTTCACCTCATTTAAATTTTATTGGCTAATTAATGTGCTGATTATTTCTTATGTTTATTTTTTTTTTAAAAATACTCAGATAATAATCTTTTTTTTCTTTAGGCCTTTTCGCTCTTTTACATAGCATTCAAAGTACATTTTCTTCATTTTACTTCTTGCATTTTGTTTTCTACTAATTTATTTCATTTTTTTAGGTCTTTTAGCTTTCTTGGTTTTGCAATTAAGGTATATATGTTCTGGCCGTTTCTAATTTTTTATTTTATTCTTATATTTCGTTTCTTACATTTTGTATTTCACACTTTTAGATCTTTCAGTTCTTCTCTGCAATTACTAAGGTATGTTTTTATTTCATTTATTTATTACATGTAATTTCTATTCCTTACTAACTTATTTCTTCTTTTATTTTATAAGTTTAGTTTTTACTTGGTCTCCTGTTTATCTCATTTTTGTCTCTTCTCCATTTTTTGCTTTCTTTTTATCTCTTTATTCTTTTGCTTTTTTTATTCTTCCCTTCCTTTATTATTTCCATTGTTCTTTATTTTCTCTTTGTTTCTTTCATTTTTTTTTGTTCCCACTTCATCTCTTTCGTTCCTTTACATTACCTTCATTCCTTTCATTTTTATTCCATTCCAACTTCATCTTTTTTATTCTTTTATACTACCCTTCATTATTGTCATTTTTTTTTTATTTCCACTTCATTTTTTTGTTTCTTCACACTATCCTTTATTATTTCCATTCTCACTTCATCTTTTTCATTTCTTTACACTACTCTTTATTCCTTTTATTCACCCTTTACTCCATTTCATCTCCCCTTCATTCTTTTCATTTTTTTTCATTTCCACTTGATCTTTTTCATTCCTTTGCTCCATTTTGTTCCTCCTTCAATCCCCCTTTGTTTCTTTCATTCTCTTTCATTCTCCCTATTTTTTTTCATTTACCCTCATTCTTTTTTTCCTTTTTTTATTCACATATTTTCTTTTCTTTATCATTGTAACTCAATTTTTTTGTTATTCCTATCAAAAAATTTAGTATTTTGGATAGTATAAGTTTGTTTTTTTCAATCAATGATTCATGTAATCTATTAAAAATTAATAAATTGCTATAAAAATTTACAGAGGATTTATATGCAAATTATGAAGTGAGAAATATTAAAATTTACACCAATCAAATTTAATAAATTTAATAAATTAATTGTGAGTGAAATCACTGAAGTGAAATCACTTTAGGTGATCTTCACCTGGAGAGAAAATTAGCAACAGTCTATTATAAATATAATTTAATACATATTATTTTTGTTGATTAATTATCACCATATTAAATTCATTTACTTAGTACTATTTAAATAAAATCATTGGTCCCAATGCAAAGCAATGGGTGACTGCTAGTATTTATATATATTTTTTTAACTAAGTTTTATAAGAAATGATCGGCAGTTATTTATTAGACCATCTGATTGGTCGAATATCATGTGATCATTTTTTATGCAACATCCATTTTAAAAAACAAAATAAGCACTTCTATTACACAAATTTGATCTGCTGTAATGCAATAACATCCACAAATATAATTGTTTTGACTTTCAATATTTCGTCTATCTTAGATAGTTTTTTGTTTATAGTTAGGGAAACTAATTTTACTATATAATTTTTTGTAAGCAAAAAAAAATAATTAATAATTTTAATTTTTCATCATTAAAAATGTCTGAACAAAAATGCAATAAAACACAAAATGAAAATGACATTTATTATAAAAATGTAATTGATAGTGTAAAAAATGAAACTGAATTATTTCATCAAAATAAAAAAGCAGCAGAAAATGGTAATAAATTTGCAATGGATAATTTGGCTATTAGATATTATAATGGAGAAGGAACAGAAAAGAATTTAGAAAAAGCTTTCTATTGGTATCAAAAAGCAGCAGAAAATGGTAATGAAGTTGCAATGAATAATTTAGCCAGTTGTTACTATAATGGAGAAGTAACAAAAAAGAATTTAGAAAAAGCTTTCTATTGGTATCAAAAAGCAGCAGAAAATGGTAATAAATTTGCAATGGATAATTTGGCCATTAGTTATTATAATGGAGAAGGAACAGAAAAGAATTTAGAAAAAGCATTCTATTGGTATCAAAAAGCAGCAGAAAATGATAATGAATTTGCAATGAATAATTTAGCTATATGTTATCATGATGGAAAAGGAACAGAAAAGAATTTAGATAAAGCTTTCTATTGGTATCAAAAAGCAGCAGAAAATGATAATGAATTTGCAATGAATAATTTGGCCAATAGTTATTATAATGGAGAAGGAATAGAAAAGAATTTAGAAAAAGCCTTCTATTGGTATCAAAAAGCAGCAGTTAATGGTAATGAATATGCAATGAATAATTTAGCCATTAGTTATTATAATGGAGAAGGAACAGAAAAGAATTTAGAAAAAGCCTTTCATTGGTATCAAAAAGCAGTAGAAAATGGTGATAAAGAAGCAATGTTTACTCTAGCTGATTGTTATTATAATGGAAAAGGAACAGAAAAGAATTTAGAAAAAGCTTTCTATTGGTATCAAAAAGCAGCAGAAAATTATAATGAAGTTGCAATGAAGAATTTAGCCATATATTATTATAATGGAAAAGAAACAGAAAAGAATTTAGAAAAAGTCTTTTATTGGTATCAAAAATCAGCAGAACATGGTAATAAAGTTGCAATGAATAGTTTAGCCATATGTTATCATAATGGAAAAGGAACAGAAAAGAATTTAGAAAAAGCCTTCTATTGGTATCAAAAAGCAGCAGAAAATGATAATGAAGTTGCAATGAAGAATTTGGCCAATAGTTATTATAATGGAGAAGGAACAGAAAAGAATTTAGGAAAAGCCTTTCATTGGTATCAGAAAGCAGCAGAAAATGATAATGAAGTTGCAATGAATAGTTTAGCTAATAGTTATTATAATGGAAAAGGAACAGAAAAGAATTTAGAAAAAGCCTTCTATTGGTACCAAAAAGCAGCAGAAAGAGATCATATTGATGCAATGAATAATTTAGCCATATGTTATAAAAATGGAAATGGAACAGAAAAGAATTTAGAAAAAGCCTTCTATTGGTTGCAAAAAGTAGCAGAAAATGGAGATAAAGAAGCACAATTTAATTTAGGTGTTTGTTATGAAGAAGGAATTGGTATTGAAAAGGATGAAGTTGAAGCTTCTTATTGGTATCAAAAAGCAGCTCAGCAAGGATTTAGTAATGCACAGTATAAACTTGGATTTCTTTATAAGATTGGTAAATAAGTTGATAAAGATTTATAATACGCACACAAATATTATAACTCTTTTAATAATATTAATTATAAAGAATATTTAATTAATAATTTATTTATTTATTATATTTAGATGAAAATAAAAGTCCGAAGTTTCATTCAGAGAAGCAAGATGAATTATTTCCCAGTAGTAAGATTTTAAAAATATTGATTTTTTAATTTTTTAATGATGTTTATTGTATTACAATACTAATAATCATTGTTTTTCTTTTACTTTTTTAGATGATAATTTTAATAACTCAGGTAAAAAAAATAATGTTGCATATTTCATAATTTTTTTGTTATTAAATCTTGTTAAATATAGAAGCAAAAGATTCTATATTCTGGAGTGATGCACTTGAAACACGTCTCTGTGAACTATATATGAAAGATGACGTTGTAGATATATTTTGGGGCCAACCTATCGAAGAATATTTTGCGGGTAGTGCAACATGGCACGTTTATGTGATTACACGTGGTTTGTATTCAAGTACTAAGACGGAAACAATTGCAGATAATCAAGTAATTTATTTTATTGCGGAGGAGGAAGGATTTGCTAGCGCGGATGACCCTTTACCAAATTCAATAGAGATTCCACAAGATCTGAAAGAGAAATTTAATGAAGCTTTAGATAATGAATTAGGATTAACATTCCGCGAAAAACATTATAATCTGGTTGGCGTGAGTACTGGATATAAAAGAATTAATGGACAGTTGACTGAAATACCAGCAATTATATTATATGTTCGCCAAAAGGGTATTTTACGTCGTGGCTGTGGTGGTATATTTCCAGAAAAAATTTGTGGGTTTCCGGTAGATGTTGTTGAAGCATGTACTGCAATTCCTTGTGTTGGTTTAGGCATAGATACTTGTCGACGTTATCAAGATGATGTTAAATTAGGATCAAGTATAGGTATAGGATTAGAAAAAGAAAATACAACTGGAACTTTAAGTGCTGTGGCTTATGAAAATGAATCACCAAATAAGATTGGCATTGTTTCATGTGAACATGTGCTCAAATTTAATGAATTAGATACCCAAAATAATGTTGTTTATCAACCTTCCTATGAAGACTTGTTTGAACCAAAAAGAAAATTAAATGAATTATTTGGACTATCACAAGCATCAGGAGCAAGGAAAAGTGAATATATTGATGAAATTGAAGAAATGGAAAGAAAACTTAAAATAGCAGAAAAAAGAAATTCAACGCTGGCTATTCATGTAAGAGGAATGCGAGAAAACTTCCTCTCAAGTGTAGATAACAAGAATTATGGTGTTGATGCCGGATTTTGTATTTTTAGTAATAAGAATCGTATGTTACGCTCAAAAGAATTTCCAATCTTTTCGAATTACTTCACAAATAATGGACTTCCAACTTGTTTGGAAGGTGTTTATACTAGAAAAGATTTTAAGAATTTTGATTATAATACTAAAGTTTTTAAAGTAGGACGAACTACGGGTCTTACTATTGGGAGATTACTTCCTACTGAACAAGCTATTGCCTGTAGCTTGATAAATGAAAGCATTAAAATTGCAAAGAAGTTAGAAATGGAAAAACATATTCCCAATTATTGTAATGAAGATCAAAGAATTTTTATTGGATATATGAAGTCACGATTAGATTCAGAAATTCATCAAAATCGCAAGAAATGCTATCCTATTAAGTGGTTTGATCGTCAATTGGCATTTAAATTTGAATCTGGAGAGTTTGAATCTGGTGACTCAGGGGCAAGCATTATAGATGAAAGAGGAAAAGCTCTTGGTATCCTTCATGCAAAGTGGATAACACCATACCAAACATATGGCATAGCTTCCCCTTATTTTGCTGTTCTTGAAGCACTAAACGTAAGCATTTATTTATCTCCTGAGTCCACTGCAGCATCTAGCTGCGAAGAAATCAAACAATTGAAAACACACAGTTGAGATATGAGGGTAGTGATATACTGTATTAGAATCAAATAACTATTATAAAATCAAAGAAATTAAAATCATTCCAAGATACTTTTCGAGACTAAATTGTTTGGACATAATATTTTGGCACCCCTTATCCTTTCCAATGTTATGAATTCCTCAATAACTTTGATTTCTCTCCAATTCGAATTTTTTCTTAAAAAATTCTTTTTATCGTTGAATTCAACTCGGAGTTGTTATAGTACCAGATTTCATTATAGCCATGGTTAATTCTAGATTTTAAAATATTCCAGATCAAACACACTTTTAAAAGTTATTGGAATTTTGAGGACTTGATTTTAATCACCTTTTTTAAATTGTGAAACTTTATATTCAAAGAATATTTATTACTCTTTCAAAAAATTTATTACTGAACATTTATTTCTCTAGAATCTTTATATATTTATTAAACCCATATTTATAATTATGAAATCTTCTTATATTTTCGTTTTTTTACATTATAGAATATTACATTATAAATTTAATTAATTTATCGATTATAATCTAGACGGAAGGGATTTTATAGTCTTACCTATTACAATTATTATAACAATGATTAAATATTATTATTAAACTCGAAGTTCAATTAACATAAAATTTTATCTTTACACTATCAGGTAAATAAAACAATATTTTTAAGGATTATTAACGTCAAAATTTTAGACCGATAATTTTTTCTCTAAAGACTTTCAATAGTATTAAAACAAATATTGTCAATATCGGTAGTATAAATTATAATAGATTTATAATAATATTATTTAAAAAGCTCCTATTAAATTACAAAAAGTTTTTGGGTAAGTTTACGTGTGTCACATTATTATTGTGGACTCTCTCGCAAATATTAATATATAATTTAGGTCGGAATTATAAAATTAGCCAGAATTATAAATAAAAAATTACAAATCTCATGAATTCTGGTCATGTTTTTGTCTCCCCAGATTATGATCCCCTATGTTAAGAATATACTTGGAGCGGCCTATTTATATAAAGTATGTATTGAATATTCATTTCTTTTGGAATATGCTAATAATTATACATTGGTACACTATCAGGCATCAGCTATAAACATTTAAACAAACATTTAATAAACTTTAAACCTCAATTGATAGACTTGTGAGTACTTTATGAGTTATGTGATTGACCAAAAAAATACCGAAAATTTCAAGGAGTTCCCATTTTGATGAACAAGAAGCGAACTAAAAACCATCCTTTTTATTCAATGATCTTCAATTATTATAATAGAAAACGCACAATTATCAATTATTTCAATTTATTTTTAGCAGTATAACACCTTTTAACTTTTACCCAAGTTATCATTATCATAAAAAAAAATCCGTTGCTTAATGTAATGACCACTATCTGCTGATGAGATGTTTGAGAACGATCTTAATCAAAAGAGCAAAGTTTGAGTGTTGTTTTATATAAGAATATTTGATCTAAAATTGTTTTGGCTCTATATATTGTAAGATAGAAATAATTCTCCAAATGCAGATTTTCTTTTTTGATAGCCTGATAGCTAGCTGGAATTTTCGGCCATTAATAGTAAATGTAAGACTCTCGGGTTATATTACCGTTAGCAAAAAGCTGTTGGAAGAGAATTAATGATTTACTATTCGCTTCGCTCTATTATGGTGTCAGAGTTCGAATCATTGGCACAACTCAAAATTTCATATTACCGTTACGATATTTAAGAACTAAAGAAAAATTAATGTTATTTTGATAGGAATTTCAGTAATTAATTTATGGAACTTTATCTTTTGTATTTCATAAATAATAATTTATACCGTGAGAAATAACAATTTTGTAATTTATACAATTCTAATTTTGACATTCTTAAATTTTGAATGAACATGAAGTGACTTTATATAGTTTCAAAACTTTCATTTACAATTTTAATTAATAACATCTAAACATATACTGTATCTTATTATTAATTCTATTCATATTACTAGAAGTAATCAAAAAATAATTACGAACTTTTATAGTAAAGAAATTTTTATAATTGGTAAATTAAGATCAAAATTATATATCTTATAAACAATTAAAATACTATTAAAATCATGAACATTTGTCAATATCATAAACATTTATATCTATTTTATTCAAGAATTTGGTTGCTCTAGAATTATCTTGTAAAGCAGCCTTTATTAACCATTTAATTCCCTCATATTCGTCCTTTGGAACATTACATTTTCCTTTATAGTATATATCGCCCAAATTAAATTGTGCAATGGAATTATTTCCCTCATTGGCGGCTTTTTTGATATATTTCAAAAATGTTTGTTGGTTGTCTTTTTCATCAAGAATATTTATTAAAGTAAAAGCATAACGTAATTGGGCGTCATGGTTTCCTTCATCTGCTGCTTCTTTAAGTAATTCTTTGCCTTCTTCTTCGCGTCCTTTAATATCATCAAGAAGTCCGTCCCATAAATAACGACCTTTCCAATATTTTGCTGTCGTATTCTTATTTATTGCATGAAAATCAAAACATTCCCATGCTTTTTGATGATCTTTATCTTGAAAAGCTTGTATGCCTTCTTCTATTGAGATTACTGGCCTTATAGGACTTATGATGTTATCCGGTAATTCTAAATCAGCATCGCTTGTTTCTTTTGATCCACCTAAATCCAATTTATCAGGTAGTATGCCTGATGGATTGTCGTCAAACATATAACGAACGGAATTATATAATTCTTCTAGCATGTCCAAGGACTTCATAAAAGAAATACGCTCATGAGGATTTTGTTTCCAAACTATAAGTATAATTAATTATTAAATTAACAATATATAATTTTTTGTGTATTTTATGTAGAATATATTATAATGTAGAAGTGATAAATAAATAAATACTTACTGTCATTTATAATTTTTTTATATTCTTCTTGATAGGTTTTAGGAGATATCCCAAAGATAATTCTTTCTCTACCACCTTTAGTAACATGATTCTTGATTTTGTCTGTTTCCCAACCTTGATATGGAATTTTTTCAAAAGCAAGCTCCCAAAGTAACATACCAAAACTAAAAATTTCACATTGGGTTGTGTATCGAGAACCTTCTAATTTTTCAGGAGCTAACCAAGGGAATATATCTCCTTCTGCTAAATCTATTGGTAATGAAGAGCTATCAGAATAACGTGCCAATGCAAATTTGTAAATTTTAGGTTCTAAACTTTCCGTTATTAAGATGTTTTCACATTTCAAGTCATGATGCAAAATATCAGCCTCTTGTAGAAATATAAGGCCACGGCAAGTTTCAAGAGCAATTCGAATCTTATAATTCCAGGGGACATTCTTTTTTAAATAAAGTTGTCTCAGAGTTCTACGTTCAGCCCATTCAAAAACCATAACATTAACATTTTCAATTTTTGAAATACCATAAAATTTGAGAATATGTTTGCATTCAGATAATTTCACTAAGATTTCAAGAAGCCTTTGTGTTTTTGGACTAATTTCAATTTCTTCCTCAGTAAATTTACAAGCAACTTCTTGTCCTTTATAAATTTTCCTAATTATAAAATGAGGGTCTTTACCACGTTTGTCATTAAGTTTCCCTCGTGCAGGGGATGTTAAATCTTTTGAGTCAATCTTATTTACTACATCACGTAAAGGTTTGTCATCATCTAAATGTTTCTTCATATGTTTTACCATATCATGAATAATGTTTACTTTATTTTTATTCTCGAGGATATCATTATGCATTTTTTCAAGATATTTTGCCATTTCCGCCAGATCTTCCTTTAAAGCTTCTTCGTCAATTTTTCTCTGTTCTTCGTTAGCAATTGCTATAGTAAAATGCAAATCTTTCATTGCAATATCATAATCATTTGTAAGTTTATGAAAATTTTCTTTAACAAAATATGCCCTTGTATATTTTCTAAAACCATGGATATTTGTAATCTCCGCAGCAAATTCTTTAATTTCTGTTAAAACATAAATAAATCTGTTAAAAGCTTTATAATATCCTTCGTCACGAAGTTTATCCTCATTTTTTTGTTTTCTCCGTTGTAATGTATTAATAGCAGTCTCGGTTAACTTCACTCTGTTCACTAAAGTCTCGCAAATATTTTTATTATATTCTGCCGTTTCATAAATGTCTATAATTTTAATAATTAAATCTATAGCTACTTTAATTAAGGGTAGATATGGGCCAATAGCTTCTCCAGTGGCTCCGGCTATTTTAATGGTAACCTCATCCATTATAATATGAATGGTTATTATTTTTTTTTTTTATTATTAAAAATAAAAAAATTTAAATGATAAATTTCTCCTGATTTATAAGGCTTATTACAGAACTTTGTTTAATTTTTCCGTTACACATTGGAAAATTTTCTCCGTTTTTTATATCTCATCTATCTACATCAAACAATTTTTTTTGAAATCCTTTTACATTCAGTTCCTTACCTTAAATGGAATAAATAGAATAATGGAATTAATAGAATGTTCTATTTGCTTATACTTTGTTACAATACCAAAAATGAAATGATCTGCGGTTCATTTACTTAAATCCTTTCACACTGGAAAATGTTTTCCGATTGTATTCACTATTCAGTGCCATTTTCATCATCTAATAACTTTCGGAATCAAGGATTCCTGAATGCATAACGATAAATTATATGAAGTTAGACTCTTTTTTTATGAAATGTAACAAAATGACAGAAAAGTGAACACGTATTGTCTTAGTATTGTATTATTGTATTATTGTATTATGTATGACCTCAGCTGCGCAGCTGACGAATCTGAATAGTATTTTACAAAAAAATTGCAAAGGAAAAAAAACAGTCCTAGCTAAAAAAGTCACGGCAATAATTTTATAAGAAATAAAGATTGTATTACCTTAAATTTACATAAAATTGTTATTATTTTCTTTATGAAGTTCACATTATGAGTTTGTAGGGTTCACCAACTCGTAGTATCCAAAATAATGACTTGCTGGAGGTGGTGCGTCTTTTGTTTGCAGATCGCTAGTTTGTGGTATAGTATGAAGAAAATGAATTTTTTTTTAAATTGATCGTAGTGATTGAATCACTAGTCAATCACATTGAAAAAAAAGCTTGAGAAGAACGCTCCTAAGTCTAATCAATCGTTAATAATTTTATGTTACCGTTAATATTAGCACGACCCAATTATAATAAATTTAGCTTATTAGATTCGCCTCATTTGTATGATCCAATAATGATAATTTTTATCGATTAGAATTAATTGACTGTAATTATTGTTTAAAAGTCCTCAAAAATGAAGTTATATTTTTAGAAATGTTAGTAAATTCATATTCAATTTAGGTTCATAATCTTAATTTTTAAGAAAAGTAGTGTTCTTATTTATTAATTAATATACTAAGAATAAAAATACATCAAAATTCATTTACACAATAAGAAGAATGACAACAATTTAATAATTGATTTATCAAGCACAAAATATCTTTTATTAAGTCATTAATATATAACTAATAACTTAAGTCTTAACTAAAATGGTTAAATAATTAAATAAATATTTAAATTTAAATCTTTAAAATACAAACAAAAAGAAATATACTTACCGACTAAATCGTTATCATCGTCGTCATCGTCATCATCCGTAGATTCTGCATGATTTAAATAGTATTAATTAAATAATATTTAAGAACAATAAAGTAATGTGCACACACGTTACCTTGTATAAATTTATTTTTTTTGCCAGAATTAACTCCAAACCCCCATTTTACAAATTCATCGAGTATTTTATTCATAGTTGGCCTTTCATTAGGTTCATGATTCCAACAACTTCTATAAAGTTCTCCATATTTCTCAGGAGTACCAGGAATTGTTTTTTCCCGATTCCCATTACAAATAGAAGCACTCAATGCAGCTTGATCACCTTCGCTAAAACTACTATTTTTAAAGGGAGGATACCCACTGGAAATTTCCCACATTAATACACCTAAACTATAAATATCTGAAGCTGTAGTATATGAAGAATTTGGATCCAAAAGACGTTTAGGATCTACGTAGGCAATAATACCACGGCCACGTGTATAACTTGCAGATGTTCGATCTTGAATTTTTGAAATACCAAAATCAATAATTTTAGCATTATTTTCATGGATAACTATATTTTTGGAATGCTAGAATAAAATAATTAATTAACAATAAATAATTAAATAATCAAATAATATATAAAAAAAAGGTGCTCACTAAATCTTTATGTAAAACTTGTTCATTGTGCAGATAATTTAGCCCATCTGCAATTTGATATGCTAATCTTTTCTTGTCCTCCCAAGTTAAATTCTTAGAATTTTTCTTGAGATAATTTCGAAGGTCTCCACCATCAGCAAATTGTGTAACAAGCAAATACTCTTGTGTTATATCATCTAAAAAAAGGAAAAATTATTTTAGGATAATTAAATATTTTTAAAGTTAAAAATATTTATTTAATTACCTTGGCTAATGCCTAAGCAACGTACAATTCTATCGCTATAAATAGATAGATGTAAATGTATTTTCAATTCATGAATAAATGCATCCAACGTATTGTATTTGACAGCATCTGTATTAATTAATCTTTTATAGACAACATATTTTCCAGTTCTGGTCCATATTGCTTTCTTAATATATCCAAAACCCCCTTTACCAAGTGGCTCTGGATCTTTCAAATCATTTAAAGGTATGAAATCAACTTTTTTATTTTTCAAGACATTTTCAACCCATTTAGTTGCATCGTCTTTCTTTTCTTTTTGAGAATTAGTAGGTGATGAGTTTTCAGCTAATAATAACTGATTAAGATTTGAAACAATTCGTTTCATGTCTGGTCGTTTATTTGGTTCATGATTCCAGCATTCTAAATAAATAAATAAATTATTATGTTAGAATTTTTAGTTAGAGAGTGAATTAAATATTGTTACCTTTATATAATCTACTATATTCCATTGGAGTTCCCATAACGGTTTCTTCTCTCCTTCCACGAAATATAGCTTTTGCTAATTCCACATCAGGCCTCTCAGTATAAAATGGTTTACGACCGCTTGTAATTTGCCATAAAAGTACGCCAATACTGTACACATTAGAACGTTTATCTAATTCACAATTTTCTATACAATCGAAATTTATAGGATCCATATAAGGTATAGTATCAAATAAAGATAGTGTATCTTTAGTTACTACTGATGGCAAACCAAAAGCTGCAAGTTTAATACTTTTCTGATGTATAAGTATTTCATTGGCTTGCTATTTTTTGTTAAAAAAGAAATTCAATATTATTTGCATTAAATAATCAATTTATAAAAATTGAATAAATGTTACCAGATCACGATGAATAATATCATTGTCATGTAAATATGAAACCGCTTTCGCTAATTGTAAAGCTAAGCTAAGTTTATTTTTCCAATCAAGTTTATTAATTTGTTCTCTTAAATAAGCACTTAATGAACCATTATTAGCATACTCCAAAACCAAAATATGTTTATACATATTGGGTAAGCCTGAAAAAAAAGTAAGTTTGTTTAATGAACCTGAACACCATCGGTGGTTAGGATATAATTTATTAATTTTTTTTTATCGTACCGTCTTCTATCCTTATTATTCCGTGGAATTTTAGAATATTTTCATGAATAATAGTACGTAGCGATTCTAACTGATATATGTAAAAGTATTAATAAAATAAATTGACCATTATTTAATCGGAGCTCAGAACAAATGTACCTCACAAACGATTTGGCGAATAGTTTCATCATCATTATTAAAGGATTTCAAAACGAAAAATTCATCATTTAAAATAGCGCGTTTTATGAAGGAAGTTTCTCTGTTGATCTGTTGAACAGATTTAAAGTCCGAATATGCATAGCAATTGATTTTATTTTCGTTAATAAAAGTTTCTAACCGATCGACTTTCTCTGTATTATTGGTATCTTTTTTTTCTATACTTGGTTTTCGCCTATTAGTAAATATTGATTTGAAAGCTATTTTGGAAGTTAAAGGACTTGTTAATTTTATTTGAGACATTTCTTCAGTTTTCGGATTCGTATAGAATTTGAGCTTTTTTTATTTTTTGTTTTTTTTAACGCCCATTATAAATTAGGTTTCATTCGATTTGACTATCACGTGAATTCATTCAGACATCCCTTATTTTGATGTTATTTTTCGTGTTCATTGGATTCTAAATTTGATGCATATCACAAAATAAAAAAAGAAACTGAAATAAAAGTAATTCATCCAAAATAATAAACGATGAAAGCTTTGCTAAAAATGTTCTTATTACACGAAATAAATCTGTAACTGATAAGGTTGATCGCGGAGGAAATTCTCCAGGTTTGTCAGTACAAAACTCCGCTGTGAAACCCTTTCTTGGATTTTGTGTAAAAAAAAAAAAAAATTGAAATACAATAGAAAATCTAATTTTTCAATGTGATAGTGACAACTGTGAAACCAAAAATCGATTTTCGTTTTGGATTTTCTATCTTTTGTAAAAGTATACAGACATATTACATTCCATCAAGAATGTTAATACGGATTCTCGTTATTAATTTTAATCCAAATTTACAAAAAAGGAAAATTATCAAAGAAATAAAGTAATTTTTTTTAGTAAAAATCAAAAAATAAAATCGATCGGCAACGGATTATAATCGGAGAAAATTTTCCATGTGAAAGTATTTATGTATGACCGAATAAAAAGGGAAAATTCAATATGACAAAGCAATATACTTTTTGTATTCGATAAAAATTTGACTTTTATCGCTACGCAAAAAATATAAAAGATAGTTTTATTATAATTAAAACATCCGTGTTAAAAAATTCAACTACTTCTGTCATAATGGAAGAGACTATAAAGACTATAAGGGCCGCTGGAGAAGCTATTAGTCCATATATGCCCTTAATTAAAGTAGCTACAGATTTAGTTGAAAAAATTATAGACATATATAAAACGGCAGAATATAACAAAAACATTTGCGAAACTCTAGTAGGCCGAGTGAAATTAACTGAGAATGCTATTGAAACATTACAACGTAGAAAACAAAGAAATGAGGATAAACTTTGTGATGATGAGTATTATAAAGCTTTTAACAGGTTCATTTATGTTTTAGAAGAAATTAAAGAATTTGCTGCGGATATCACAAATATTCATGGTTTTAGAAAATATACAAATGCATATTCTGTTAAAGAAAAGTTTCAAAAACTTACGCATGATTATGACATTGCAATGAAAGATTTACATTTTACTATGGCAATTGCTAACGAAGAACAAAAAAAAATTGACGACGAAGCTTTAAAGGAAGATCTTGCCGAAATGTCAAAATATCTTGAAAAAATACGTACCGATATTCTTGATAATAACGATAAAGCCAACATTATTCATGATATGGTAAAACATATGAAGAAGCATTTAGATGATGAAAAACCTTTATATTACGTTAATAAAATTGAATCAAAAGATTTAACATCTCCCTTACGAGTAAAATCTGATGACAAACGTGGTAAAGGCCCTAACTTTATAATTAGGAAAATTTATAAAGGACTAGAGGTAGCTTGTAAATCCAAAACGTGTTTAAAAACACAAAGACTTTTTGAAATTTTAGTAAAATTATCTGAATGTAAGCACATTCTTAGATTTTATGGTGTTTCAATAATTGAAAATAACAATGTTATGGTTTTTGAATGGGCTGAACGTGGAACTTTGAGACAACTATATTTAAAAAAACACATCTTATGGCATTATAAGGTTCGAATTGCTCTTGAAATTTGTCGTGGCCTTATTTTTTTACAATACGCTGATATTTTGCATCACGACCTGAAATGTGAAAATATTTTAATAACAGAAAATTTAGAACCTAAAATATATAATTTTGAGTTAGCAAATTATTCTGATAAAAATACTACTTCATTACCGATAGATGTAACCGCTGCTGGAGACATAATTCCTTGGTTAGCTCCTGAAAAATTAACCGGTTCTCGATACACAACCCAATGTGAAATTTTTAGTTTTGGTATGTTACTTTGGGAGCTTGTTTTTGAAAAAATTCCATATCAAGGTTGGGAAGCAAAAAAAATTGTGGAGCATATTGCTGAAGGTCACAGAGAAAGAATTACATTTGAGTCTTCAACTCCTAAAATATGTCAAGAAGAATATAAAAAAATTATAAATGACAGTAAGTAATTTCTTTAAAATATCTCTGCGTTATAACGCATTTATACTTTTACTATAAGGTCCACACTAAAAATTGTACATTTTAAATTTTTTATATCTACAGCTTGGAAACAAGAACCACAAGAACGTATTTCCTTTATGAAATTATTGGATATGTTAGAAGGATTATACAATTCCATTCGTATTGCAGACAACAATTCATTAGATATTCTTCCTGATAAGTTAGAGTTAAGTGGATCAAAAGAAACAAGTGATGCTGATCTAGGATTAACGGATAAGAACGTTAGTCCTATTAAACCAGTAATTTCAATAGAAGAAGGTATACAAGCTTTTAAAGATAAGGATCACCAAAAGGCATGGGAATGCTTCGACTTTCATGCAGAAAATAATAGTATAGTAGCAAAATATTGGAAAGGTCGTTATTTGTGGGAAGGATATCTTGACGATATTCAAGAACGGGAAGAAGAAGGTAAAAAACTACTTAAAGAAGCTGCAGATGAGGGGAATTCTGATGCTCAGCTACGTTACGCTTTTACTTTATTAAATGATCTTGAGGAAGAAAATAATCAACAAATATTTTTGGAATATCTCAAAAAAGCAGCTGATGAAGGAAATAATCCTGTCGCACAATTTAATTTAGGAGATATATATTATAAAGGAAAATGTAATATCCCAAAGGACGAAAATGAGGGAATCAAATGGCTAATAAAGGCTGCTCTACAGGATAATTCTAAAGCAACTAAATTATTGAATCAGTTAAAAGTAGATGTTTATGATATTAACAAGTGTTCATAAGACTATGATCGTATTATACATTAATAAAAAACTTTATATTATCTTAGTGTTTGGAATCGAATATATTCGAATATACTCGAGTATTCATTTAAATTTATATAGTGTATTCAGTTAAATTTCCTTTTATAGTAATGATTTACATAATTTTTTAGCCTGAATTATGATTTTAACTCAGTTAAATTTAAGGATTTAATGCCCAATTAGAATTTTAACTATACTATATCTGGCTAAATGAATACTCGAATAACCACTATGCTTATTCAAATACTCGAATATACTCGAGTTATTCGAATAACTGTTACATGATTCCAAACACTATATTATCTGCACAATGACTACCTTTTAACCACGTGACTATAATTTTGGAATTGTCAATTTTTTTGATAAATCTATTGATATAAACGACTGATTATTAAATTTTGTTAATAAACTTAGACACCTATTCTAAAAGCATATCGTAATATTACTAGATTTGTGGAATTATAAAGTGGCTTCGAACCCTTTTTATACAATTATATGAATTTGAGCACTATTTCTTGCCACTTTAGCTTAATTTACACTAGTGTGCGAAACACAAGTCATGTGTTCACCTATGTTACACACTTACACCCATTTTTATTTTCGAAAATTTCACGCCACTGATATTCGAATTTTTTGTAATTTAGCTTTGGGATTCAAATACAGTAGGTAAGTCTTTTCTTCCTTTTCTTTTTTATTTTTTTTTTCACTTCTATTTTCCTTTCTTTTGTAACTCGTTCATTTCTTTTTTAGGCGCGACTGTTTTCAGTTTTCATTTCAGCAGAAATTCAAGGTGAGTCCTTTTCATTCAGTTATTTTATATTTTTTTGCTGACTGCTTTAAGACAATATTAACCAGTTCCTTTTTTCCTTTTATTATGGGTGGATATTTCGGTTCTTCCTTTATTTTTTTCACTTATTTTTTCCTTTTATTTATTTTCATTTCCTTTGTTTCATTATTTTTTTTTTTGTTTATTTTCGTTTTCCTTTGTTTCTTTTCATTTACCTGTTATTTCCTTTATCCCTTTTCATTTATTTTATTATTTTTCATTCATTTTCATTTCCCTTCATCCTTTATTGTTTATCTATCTCTTTTTCGTCATCTTTCATTTTTTATCATCAAATTTCGTTACATTTCGTTTTTCACCAATTTTCACTATGTTTCGTTTTTCATCATCAATTTCATTTGTCATCGTTATATTTCGTTCTTAATAACTAATTTTCGTTATATTTCGTTTTACATCATCACCTTTCATCATCACTTTTCGTTGTATTTCGTTTTTAATCATTACCTTTCGTTGCATTTCATTTTTCATCATTACTTTTCATTGTATTTCGTTTTTCATCATCATCTTTCGTTTTATTTCGTTTTTCATCATCACCTTTCGTTGTATTTCTTTTTTCATCATCACCTTTCGTTGTATTTTGTTTTTCATCATCATTTTTCATTACCTTTCGCTTTTCATCATTACTTTTCATTGTATTTCGTTTTTCATCATCACCTTTCGTTGTATTTCATTTTTCACCATCATTTTCATTGTATTTCGTTTTTATCATCACTTTCCTTTTAGTTCATCTCCATCTTTTTAATTTATGATCTTTCTTTCCTTTATTTTCCCTTGATCTTTCACTTTATCCTTCCTTATTGTATTTTTTTTTTTTTTGTTCTTTCCTTATGTATTATAACACCTTTGTATCAAAACATTATGTAATGTGATTTAATAAAGTCAATTTTTATTGATTAATTAAATTAATAAAATCGAAAAATTAGCCAATAAAAATTTTATATGTTCACGTGATACGTGTTTCGCACACTAGTGTACAAATAGAAATAGTCATATATAAAATTACTTTATTATTTTTATATTAGTATCTTCGTAGCTATTACCGTATTATTCCTATTATAACTATTAATTTATTTTTTATTTTGGTTATATTTGTATTTGTATATTCCATTTTCATCCTTCGTTCAACAAATAAAATCAGATGATCATTTATTGCTAATAAAAATGCAGATATGATGATCCTAATTGTTTTTAGTACATGATAAATAAATAAACAGGGGTCAACAGATTAGCATTCTTATCGCCTCAAAGTTTAAAATTTTATATAACTATCAAAATATAAAAAAAAAAATTATAATTTCTCACTCAGTTTCAGCATGCTGCTGATCAATTTCCACTAATTGTATAGTTGGATTGTTTGTCACGCATTACGTTATTCTTCTAGAAAGAATGTAATGGATTCCGATTTATCCCTTATTATTTTAACATTTTAGGAAATCTGTAACACCCTTCGTGTGAAATCATGTGTATATGAATTTCCATATAAATAAATGAAACAATCCTCCAAAAATAAATATTTATACATAACAACGGGAGTCAAATTCCGGTGTTTCGGTGTTTCTTAGACGACTTCTATAAATATACGAAGATTCTCAAAAATGAAACTTAAACTGAAAATGACACTTTTCAAGTCTTTTAAAAAACAAATAAAATCCAGCAAGTGTTTGCTAAAGAAGACGTTGCCAAAAAAATTTTCAAAGTATAAGGAGTCAACCAATTGGTTAGAATCAATAGGTAAAAAATATGATTATTCGGACTTCAAATCCGTTCAAATAATAGGCAGGGGTTCCTACGGAATTGTATCATGTGCTACTCGGAAAAATCAAATTTTTGCTTTGAAATCTTTTTATAGCGATAGGACAACTCTTATCGTTAGAGAGGTATTAATTATAATTATACTTTCGATTGTAATATATAAATTCTAATACAATCCAGTTTGAAATGATTTAGTTAAAATTACACATGCTTGTTCATCACGAAAATATTCTGCGGTTCTACGGATACACAAAAACAGATAACGGTATGACAAATTAATTCTTTCTTTCATTCTTTTACTACATGAAATAACTTTTTTTTATTTATTTTTTTATAGATGCAGCTTATCAATATTGTCTAGTATTAGAATATGCTGATAGTGGCACACTAAACACGTATTTGAACGACCATTTTAATGAACTTGATTGGAATGATAAATTTAGATTAGCTTTGCAATTAGCAAATGCTGTGTCACATTTGCACGATAATAATATCATTCATTGTGATCTGGTAATATTTAATATGTAATTGATTTTATTTTTTGCAATTTAACTAATTAAATTAATTCTTTTTAATTTAACAGCATGCAAACAATATACTTATACATCAAAAAAATATCAAACTAGCGGATTTTGGTTTATCGAAACAAATATCTAATGAAATATCTAATGAAACTAGTAGTGTAATTGGTGTAATACCATATATAGACCCGAAATGCTTCGATAACAAAAATTATAAATTAGATAAGAAATCCGATGTATATAGTGTTGGAGTTATAATGTGGCAAATTTCAAGTGGACGTAAACCATTTGAAAAAATTAGTTATAATATAAGGTTAAGCTCAGAGATAATAAACGGAGAAAGAGAAAAAACTATCAATGGCACCCCTGTAGAATACAGTGACTTGTATACAGGTAATTTGATGTTTTCATTGTAAAGATTTGTTGTTAGATGGTATAAGCTACTGCGCTCAGTAATGAGATCTCAATTATCACCAAGGACAAGAGCGTTACATCTTGCAACATTTTGCTCGATGATAAAATGCTTTTCAATCTTTGGATAAAGATTACGAGCAAGAAACAGTTCAGCTACCTACGTCTAATTATGCAATTGATTTTCCAAGTTTAAATATTATAAAGTCTAATATATTGATTTATCGATTTTTTTTAATTTAGACTGTTGGAATTATGAACCAGATGAACGTCCAAATATTCGAGAAGTTGCTTTAATTCTTGATCAATTAATCACCAAACTCACATATAAAAAGACTTTACTTCGTGTAAATAAGGTTGATTCAAAAGATTTAACTAATCCTAAAATAAGAAAACCTGATGACCGGCGTGGTAAATTTGTAGTTAAAAAAATTTATAAGGGACAAGAAGTAGCTTGTAAATCCATATCAACTAACAAAGAAGAAATTAAAACGAGTTCAAAATCACAAAGACTTCTTGAAATTTTAATGAAATTATCTGAGTGTAAATATATTCTAAGATTTTACGGTATTTCGACAATTGAAAATCATAATGTTATGATCTTTGAATGGGCTGAACTTGGAAATTTAAGACAACTTTATTTAAAAAAAAATATCTTATGGCATTGTAAGGTCCGGATTGCACTTGGAATCTGTCGTGGACTCACATTTTTACAAGAGGATGGTATTTTACATAATGACCTGAAATGTCAAAATATCTTAATGACAGAAAGTTTAGAACCCAAAATTTATAATTTTGAGTCAGCACGTTATTCTGGTGATAATAATGTTACAGATCCTTCGGTAGAAGAAGCGGGAAATATATTGCGTTGGATAGCTCCTGAAAAATTAACTGATTCCCAATATACAACTCAGGGTGAAATTTTTAGTTTTGGTATGTTAATTTGGGAACTTATTTTTGAAAAAGTTCCATATAAAGGTTGGAAAGTAGAAAAAATTAAGGATCATATTATTAATGGTGGTAGAGAGAGAATTTTATTTGGAGCTGAAGCTCCTGAAATTTATCAAAAAGGCTGTGAAAATATTATAAACGAAAGTAAGTATTTTGTTTAAAGAATCTTCATTATATATTTTTATTGAGTATGATGTACTTAAAATATACATTTTAATTTATAAATACTATAGCTTGGAAGCAAGACCCACAAGAACGTATTTCCTCTTTTACGAAATTATTGGATATGTTGGAAGAATTGTATAATTCTATTCGTTGTATGTTTGACGTAAATTCATTAGGTTTACTTCCCGAGAAAAATTTAGATATAGATGATGATTTAGAATTACCAGATGATGCTAGATGGTGATTAGCATTGCCAGATAATGGCATTAATCCCGTAGTACATAATTTTACTGGAAAAGGTTTACTACTCAGGGGATATAATTTCGCAATACAATTCATTTTTTAATGTAACATATTTTAAAAAATGTAAATAATAAATGTACATATTATGATTTCGTCTATAATGATAACGAACTGAAAGAGTAGGTCGCGTACAGGGATTTTAAAGAGTAAAGAGCAATTAGCCAAGTTTCGACGCGAAATGGTTGAAATTAAAAACCTAATGAAGCCATAAGGTCTAGAATAAATACGTGATGATTTGGTTAGAGTCGAAAACGAACACGAGACATTGTTTAAGAATATTGAACAAGTGAAGAAGAAACAAACGCTACGTATAGTGGAGAGATGAACAATGACAAACGAAGAAAGCAATAGACTTAGTGAAACCAACTTATAATCGAGAAAAGGTTTAGAACTTAGGAAAAAAATATTGTACGAGTCTTGGCTTAAACAATACAAGAAATTTATGCTGGTTTGAAAGCGGAAGAAAATACTCGAAAGGAATTTAAAACCATATATATATACTGTATACACATTATCTGATAACTTTCGGACTGTAATGCTAAATTATCTTATAAGAAAGACTGCGCAGAAAATATTTCGTAATTAATTTAAAGAAATAATTGATCAATCACATTGCAGCTTTTTTTTTTTATTTATAAAACGCGCAATTTTCCCATGTTATAAGCACTTAGTTTAGAACAACTGTAAAATTACCAAAAATAAAATTTTGATGATGTGATCGTTGTCACAACTCAACCCTTGGCATAAATTTTGCCAAATGCTCAATTATAATTAACGGAATTATTAATTTCTAATTACTAAATATGCGTTTCCAAAATTTATTAAATACAGTATCCGGTTAAATTAACCGGGTTAACCTGATTAAATAGGGTAGCAATTAACCATTCCAAACTCATGCATTCACATAACAAATGTTCAACATATAATAATGAATATAAATAACGAATGAACGACTTCTCTCCTTGCTTCTCTTTTTTAGTGCATATTGTGATCTATTATCAATAAACATTTTCGAATCATTTGTTTCATAATAATTTTTCAAAATTATCAAACAATAATATGCAATCGAAAATCGTAATATATCTCTTGTGTATCATAAAAAAAAATATCCTATAAAATACTACCAAATTTACTTTTTCATGAACAATCTCGGCCGATAATAAATGTGTTAAATGTGGAGAGTAATTTGCAGATTAAAATGGCATACATAATACCATACTATGATTATTTAGGTAACTTGATTTATAACGATCTTCGTGCAGTCTACAATAAAGGAAGGTTATGTGGTCTTGTTACCAATAATGGAAGATAATGCTTTTGGATAAATTATTAAGATTGAGAGAGTCTCGGGTTTGGTACGGTTTCAGTTTGGCAAAACCAATCTATTCGGTTTCAGTTTTAATTAGAAACTATACTGAGCCGTATCACCGATAAAAATTAAGAAAATAAATTTAGTTAGAAACAAGTGAAAATGAAACAATCAAAATAAGCTGCAAAAATATACCTAATTGCCAAAACCGAATAAGAAAAGGACCATTTCTAGAGAATTCTCTTCTAAAAATAAAGAAAGCGAATTTGTCAGAAAAATTCGTATTACAATAAAATAATTTTTTTTATCGTTCGATCGCATTTTTAAAAAGTTTTTTTTTTTAACTTTTAAATTATAAAATTTAAATAAAAAAATCATTTCAGCTGCAAAAAAAAAAAATAAAATAAAATAAAATAAATATAAATCGGTAAATCGGTTAAGTAAATTACACCACTGAAACATTCAGTAATTTAAATATACAAATTTACCAACTGATACCGAGAGAGACAACCATTATTTTGAATTTTTCTCAAATAGCTGAATGTTGAATATGATTATCAAAAACAATAATTAAATGGGCGCCTTTCTAACAGTAATTTTGGTTGTTTTGCTGTTGACATATACTGGTAGTTTGGTAAAGCTTGTATTCGATTGCCACAATCGTATTGAACAAAGAATTATGTAAACAGATGAATACTTCTGAAAAGATTGTATTGCATAAGAATCCAAGAAATTAAAAATTCAGATAATTTTAGCCATGAAGAATCATCTCTCGTGATTCTCAACTCACGAACGATACTGTTGGAGACCAGTAAAAAATAATCTCCGAGGATCCAAAAATATATATATCTCATCATTCATTCAGTTCATATTCAACAAAAAGAAAATTTGGAATTTTGTTTAGCATTTTTTTTTTCTGTGCCCGGCAAATTGTAACGGTGAGAGGAAAGGAATAAGATTAGTTAATAAAAAAAAATAAATAAAAAAAAAATAAATAAAGTGTTATTTCTTTAAGTTCCTCATACATACATACAAAATAATACAACTTTAATACCGTAATAGGTGTAATTAGATTTGGTCTCATCTTGCACTTCCGCGAAATGAATACAGGAAAAAAATAATCTGGCAAAAAATAGAATAGCCACGTGATCATAAGATCATTGTTAAGAATAAATTCATAATAAAATATGGGACGATTTAAAGATAATTTTTTTTTTACAAAAAAAATAAATTCACCTTACTGAAGTATGTTCTCTTTACCACCATTATTACCGCCATTATATAGTAGAGACTAAAGAGGTTAATAATAGCTTTCTCCTTATAGGAAATTTCTCTGAATTTTACAAAGCCACCTACTATGTTTAATAGTAGCCTGGTATATATAGTTACGTTGATAGCGAAGAGGTTAAGGTAAGTGATTTAGAGTTAGAAATTTTACAACTTTCCATCCTTCATTTTCACCGCCTATTCGGGATTTTTTTCAGTTACTATAAAAACACTATTTGTCACCTCTATATGTCGGGTAACGTCAATTTTGATATATAAATTGTCGTTTTAGTAATATGAATAATAATAGATTACTTTATCAGAATTTAAAGATTAAATGCAGTAAAAGTCAATATGTCATGTCAAAACTTTCATTTAAGCAAATTTACGTAGTAAAAAAAAATACACGTAATATGGATCTTAAATCACGCTGTATTTATTCAAATTTTTAGATGGCCAACCAAAAAATCTCAATATAACCTTATTAGTATCGAATATTGAAACCACGCGAAGAATGTACAGTAAATAAAATACATCCCCTTTATCACAAATTTTTAACTGTTTAACCCATTTTTAAATGTCAACATTATTATATATAACATATACAAAAGTCTTACTAACTTGTTCGTAAAAATTATTAGCTTTGTCACATATATCTATTTTATTTCATTTTTCTTGCAAAACAACTTTTTTTCTACTTTTATTTTATTTACAAAATAAAAAGAAGTCCTATTACTTTCCATACTTTCCACAAATTCACCAAGCGTCTAATTTCATTTTATCAAATTGTGTATCGTGATATTTTGATGTAGTCAAAATATACAATAAAGAAACGGAAGATAGGTTACAAAGAAATAGAAATGTTGTAGTAAAAGATTTAATAAGATTTAATAAGATTTATCACTATTTAAGATTTAAGTAAAAAATGTTTTGTGTATCGTGATATGTTGATGTAGTGCAAAATACAATAAAAAAAAATTGGGATCGAGAGGTAGGCAAATAAATTAGTCCAAAGGACTCTGATGTCCGTCCGGCACATACAATGTACTAGGGATGCCAAAAGTTTGGTTATAACCGATCATAACCGGTTTTTACCGGTTCGGTTATCGGTTCGGTTTCAGTCCAAGACCGACCGGTTAACCGTCGGTTTTATTTATAAAAAAAACCGATCAAAAAACCGATCGGTTAATTGTAAATTTTTAGAAAAAAAAAAATGATTTTGTTTATTGAGATTACCATTAAAACTATGATACTAGTGTTTTTATGTATAGTATTCTCATTTTTGAAATTATCGAATTTACGCGTTGATCACGTGATTTTCGTTTCTCTGAAAAATAGCATCACCGGCGTTATTGTTGTAAAAAAATTGCGTAAATTTAAAGAATATTATTCAAAAATTATACTAGTTAATACTTTGTGCCATTATTTATTCGGTTTTGCAGTAGTTTTATCGGTCGGTTTTGGTTTTGGTTGAAAACCGCAGTTTTAAACCGACCGTTGGCATCCCTACAATGTACATTCTTTTCTCCAAGCTAATAAAATTAGAGTAACTAACTATACTAGTAAATACTTGAACACATACTGTATATACAGTATCATGCCAGTTTTTTGCTAAGTATTATTAGATAATTTCATTTTAAATTAAAAGCTAGTTTTAAATATAGATCGATTTGTTTTATGAGCTTCATTCCCCCTGGGCAGTATCTTTTCTTCAGGACTTCCTCTCTATAGTATAGGAAGAGTTCGAGTTAAGTGTAGTCGGTAGTCACAATCGCCACAAGTGTATCAAAATAATGTTTAAATTTCAAAAATTACTAAATAAAATGCTTATAACTCATCAGAAGTTCTGAACCTTTATGAAAATTATGAAAGTTTAGTTTAAAGTAGAACTTACTGAAAATTTTACACCCTTCCTAAATTTCTTTACTTTTTTGTACTAAGATTGCGTTCAATTTCGTTAGGAGTAATAAACTAAACAATACAAGATCATTTGTACAAAAATTACAAAATAAAAAAGAAAAACCGGCTCTCCTATCTACAAACAGAAAAACAATCTCAGACGATCTTAACCTTGTCATATTAACTCTCCCCTCCCAAAAATTTCAAAAAAAAATAAGATCTACCAAATAGAATGTATTAAATCACGTGGATCATCAATACATCCACTGATTTGATGTTATAATCTTGTTATTTTACAGTAATACCAGGACCCCGAACAATACTGAAATAGGTCATAGGAAAAAATGCGTAGAAAAGGCCAAAATAACCATGAAAATCTTTCCTTTTTTAGATAATTTTTAATAATGTTGGTCAGATTTTTATTACTTATTTTAGTAACCGACCAACATTATCATAATTCCGGCCCTGAAAAAATGCGCAGAGCTAATAGTAAAATTTTTCCAATTTCCTATGACCTATTTATATATTACTCGGGGTCCTGTAATACCACTTGTAGTTAATTATTTTATTTAAAAAAATTTTAAGCGTCAAATTTAGTATTTTCAAAAGTTTTTGCAGGAAAATTCAAAAATAACTTTTTTTTGAAACACGTTTAACATTGTGTTTATTTTGTAAATAAATACATTTTTTTTGCTTAAATCAATTTTCAAGTATATTGTAACGTCGATTACTATTTCACCTTGAAAGGATGTGTTATTTATTTATTAAATAATTTCTACTGCAAAGTGTAAACCTAGAACAAGTAAAGGCAATTTGTTTAGAGTAGGATATTATACTTTAGTGAAAATAACTATCGTTACGTGAGAATTGGTATTCCCAAACTTCCATACGCACGCTCTAATATATTTTATTCTAAAAAAATCAGTTTTCCCGAAGTCAATTACCTGACTTACTTGAATGCCAATTTCTCGAACTGGTCTAGACTCGGTTTCCATCCTATTTCCAATAAATGTTATTTCATAGTTGGCTTTAATAATCGTTGTCATCTGGTTACTAATAATTCTTTAATCTTTTTTTTATAACTTATAAACTATTTAAAATATTTAAAAAATACAGTTTATTACTATATGTTTCAGAAAATTATCCATTCAGAATATTGGGATTCAGAAAAATTAGATTTTAGAATATTGGGTTCGGTAAATAGGGATTCAGGAAATTGTATATATTTTCAAAGACGCCTATGGTTTAAAGTCGTGGGAGCATGGGTGATTGTTGCTTCCAGTAATCAAATAACGACATTGACAAATGCACTTTACACGTTTTTGGATAAGTTCTTCAATATCCTTAATTCAATCTAGCTTTTCCTTACCTGTTGAAATTTCGTTTTATCATCAAATGTACAGCAATCAGCATTCCAGGATGGTAGGATGGAAAATCCTTCATGTAAATCCTCGTGGCGAAGTTTTCCATAACTAGTATCATTTACTTGACAATGAAGTGTAATATCCCTAAAAGATTCAGACTAAATGGTAAATCGAAAAAAAACCGGATTGATAAATGTGAAATACGCAAAATAGGAAAAAATAGATTTCTCCTGCGTGGCGTCACCTGGAAAAAAATGGTGTCGGATTTATTTTCTGGCTTTTTGGAATTAGGGATAAGGAATTTGTCACGTATTGTCACATCCTAACTTGATAATTATTCTGGGGACAAAAATTTTTTTATATGGAAAAATTACCTCTATGTAACTCAGACAAATAAATACGAGGGTTGTTAAAATGTAAAATGTTACTAAACTTTTTTTGACACCCTCATGACGAAATCCTATTTGTCACACGATATGTACCAATTGTCACATGAAGCCGCACTTAATTCCTTAATGCGCCACTTTCGTGACATTTTTTGGTTAGTAGTGAATACCCGCGAAAGTTTTAAAAAAAGAATTTTTTTCACATCTCATAAGTTGTTGATCTCTATATGATATGAACTTTGTACAAAATATTTTAGTAATATTTATTTAATTCGATTGTTTTAAACAAAATTATCTTCATTGGAGAAGAAATTGTACCATCACAAATACGTTTAAGAAACGAGGAATAAAAAGTTACAGCTTTCAGTTATTATTGAAATTCCAAATTGCTAACAGCTAATTACTAAAGCTATTTAATTATATATCATTCCTAATTAACTAGAATGATTTATCCTCAGTCCATTCATTATGGATAAAAAAAATTTGGGAGACTACGCAGTTTTGGTTGTAACTAAATACAAATGATATAATAAATTTAGTTATGTTTTACACTTTAAAATAATAATAAAAACAAATTACCTATTAAATCTGAATTACAACTATCGCTTTTTTCTATAGATTTCATTTTAATTAATATAATATCAAATTTAAACATAATACATAAAAACAATCAATAATATACCTTCAATAAATTTATTTTCTTCAAGTCTTGTTTTTTTAAATTCATCTAATATTTCACCAGTATTTGGTCTTTGTTCAGGTTCTTGATCCCAACATTTTATATAGAGTTCTTCATATTCTTTAGGAGTCTCAAGAAATGGAGTTTCACGTATTCCAGCACAAATAAGTGCAATTTTTTCCTTGTCTGTAATACAATCTTTAAATGGAGGGTAACCACTGGAAATTTCCCACATCAATACACCAAAGCTATAAACATCTGAAGATTTAGTATATGGGAATTTTGGATCTGAAAGACGTTTAGGTTCCATATATGCAATAATACCACGATTACTATGCGCATGTTCTGCAGATATTTGATCTTGAATTTTCGAAATACCAAAGTCTATAATTTTAGCATTATTTTCATGAATAACTATATTTTTAGAATGCTAAAATAAATAAAAAAGAATTATTAGGTCGTTTTAAACACATATAAATTTAAAAAAAGTACACTTACCAGATCCTTATGTAATATATTTTCGTTATGCAAATAATTTAGCCCTTCTGCAATTTGAAATGCCAACTTTTTCTTGTCATCCCAACTTAAGCTCTTAAAATTATTGTTAAGATAATTTTGAAGGTTACCACCATTAGCATATGGCATAACAAGTAAATATTCTTTTGTCGTATTGTCTAAAAAAGAGATGCTATTAAAAACAAAATAAAATAAAATTTTAATAAAAAAGTATTTTAATTACCTTGGCTAATACCCAAGCAACGTATAATTCTATCACTAGTATAATAAGGCAGACATAAATTAATTTTTAATTCATGGATAAATACATCAAATGCATTATATTTATCATGGTTAATAAATCTTTTGTAAACAACAAAGTTTTTAGTTTTGGTCCAAACTGCTCTCGTAATAGATCCATAACCTCCTTTACCAAGTGGGCTTGGATCCTCTAAATTATTAAATGGAATGAATATAGCTTCTTTATTTTTCAAGCTATTTTTAAGAACTTCATTATCAGAAATTTTAAGCGAAATGAACTGATTTAAAAGTTCAACTGCATCATCTTTTATTCCTTCATTATCTTTATCATTAATGATTTCAGGTAACACAAACTCATTTAAAAAAGTTTCAAGGGTCGAAATAATTTTTCGCATATCTGGTCGTTCATCAGGTTCATGTTTCCAACATTCTATATTAATAGATTAATTAATATTATATTATTCGATTATTATATAATGAATAAGTTTTTTTACCTATATATAATTCACTATATTCCGGTGGAGTTCCATTAACAATACGTTCTCTCCGACCATTTAATATAGCAGTTGCTAATACTACATTGTAACTTTCAAGATGGAATGGTTTAACTCTGCTTGAAATTCGCCATAAAATCGTACCAATGCTGTATACGTCAGACCGTTTATCCAATTCATAATTTTTAGTATTGAAACTTTTTGGATCTACGTAAGGTATCATACTAAATATTTGTACCGTATTAAGTGATTCTGCTTCTTTTGAAAATACAAAATCCGCTAATTTAACATTCTTTTGATGCACAAGTATATTGTTTTCATGCTATTATTTTAAATAAAACAAAGAATAAATTACTAATTCTCCCAATACTTAAAAATAGAATGTATAAAGATTACCATGTCATAATGAATAATATCATTATCATGTAAATATGATACAGCACTTGCTACTTGAAATGCAAACTTATATTTATCATTCCAATTAAGTTCATTAAAATGCTTATCTAAATAAGTACTTAATGTACCACTATCAGCATATTCCAAAACTAAAATGTACTTATTTTTTAGAGACGTTTGAGGAAAATCTGAAAAAAGAAAATAAATTACATCCATGGTTTCATTATATTAATTACGTCAAGATTTAATATTGCTTATCGTACCGTTTTCCGTAATTCCGTAAAATCGTAAGATATTTTCATGAACAAATTTATTATGTAATTTTAACTGAAATAAAATACGGTAATCTAAATTAATTTCTTATTTAATTGAAGCTTAGGATATATGTAAACATTTATACCTCATTGATAGCTTTGTGAAGAGTTGCATCATCATTATAAAATGATTTCAAAACAAAAATTTCATCTTTTAAATTAGCAATAATGATGGTTTTCCCTTTTTCTTCGATTGTTCTCTTATCTTTAAAGTCCGAATAATTATAGAATTCAATTTGTTCTTCTTTAATTAAATTATTTATCCAATTATTACTTCTTTCCTCATTAATGATAGCACCGTTTATCGGTTTTCTACTCTTCTTACTCTTCTTCGACTTAAATGCCGATTTTATAGATTTTAGAAGAGACATTTTCGTTTCAATTCTTTAGATATAGTACCTCTTTTTATACGCTACTTAACCGTGCAGATTTTTTTTTTTTTTTTTTTTTTTGGTATAATATGTACCGATCCATTATTCTAAATTAGGGCTCATAAAATTTACTATTTTGATTTGTGATTTTAAACTTAAACTATAAAAGGAATTTCCACGTTTCATATTTTTTGATCTGTGGACTCTGTGGACAAAATTGAAAGCTCTAACAAAGTAACAACAATGTACAACGGCGTTTAGTACTTCTTAGTAATATGCAAGAAGGTTGATTATGACCGGAGTACGTTTTCCAATACATGAAAGTAATTAAGTAATTTGTAACTGTGAAACCGCGTATCAATTTTTTGAGAACATTCAATTTTATCCAAACACAATCAAATTTTTTTACGGAATTTTTTGTGTAATAATCAAATTCCAAAAAAAGGAATTCTTCAAAGAAATAGAAAAGGAAATTGTTAAAGAAAATATAAAATAGGTAACCGTTAAGAAAATATATAGAAAAGGAAATTGGGCAAAAAAAATTATAATTATAACCGGAAAAAATATTCCAATGCATGTTATAATAACCTTTGATAAATGTCTTAAAAAAGAAAGTAATCGATTTTTTATTTCTCTCATATAATAATATCGTGCAAAAAAAAAAAATATATATATATATAAAATATCTGCTTGAAGATAAAAATTAAAAATTTATCAATTATCTTTTTCTTTCTTTAAAAAACAATTTATCGTTATTATTTCGTAATGGAATCCGTTGGAATTTTTGCCCCGTATATACCCTTAATTGACAAGGCTACAGATTTAATTATTAAAATTGTAAAAATTTATGAAACGGCAGAATATAACAAAAATATTTGCGAAGCTCTAGTAAACCGAGTGAAATTAACTGAGAACGCTATCGATACATTACAACGTAGGAAACAAAAAAATGTAGATATATTTAATGATGAGGTTTATTATAAAGCGTTTAACAGATTCATATATGTTTTAGAAGAAATTGAAAAATTTGCTGCGGAAATTTCAAATATTCGTGGTTTAAAAAAGTATACGCAAGCAGATTTTGTTAAAAATAAATTTCAAAAACTTACAAATGATTATGATGTTGCAATGAAGGATTTACATTTTACTATGGCAGTTGCTAGTGAAGAACAAAGAAAAATTGAAGAAGAAGCGCTAAAGGATGATCTGGACGAAATGAGCAATTATATTAAAAAAATGCATAACGATATTCTTGAAAATAACAACGAAGTTAACAACAAAATTGACTTTATTTATGATGCGGTGAAACATATGAGAAACCATTCAGATGTTTCATATAACGTAAATAAGATTGACTCAAAAGACTTAATATCTGTAAAATCTACTGACAAACGTGGATGTGATCCTAATTTTATAATTAAGAAAACTTATAAAGGATTAGAGGTAGCTTGTAAATACATTTCAAATGACGAAGAAAAAATGAAAACGTGTTCAAGAACACAAAAAATTCATGAAATTTTAATGAAATCGTCTGAATGTAAACATATTCTTAAATTTTATGGTATGTCAACAATTGAAAATCGTAATGTTATGGTTTTTGAATGGGCTGAACGTGGATCTTTGAGGCAGCTTTATGAACAAAAAGATATACCATTTCATTATAAGATCCGAATTGCTCTTGAAATCTGTCGTGGCCTCATATTTTTACAATGTGCTGGTATTTTGCATCATGACTTGGGATGTAATAATATTTTAATGACAGAAACTTTAGAACCTAAAATTTATAATTTTGAGTTGGCTCGTTACGATTCTGATGGAATCACTACTTCATATTTAATGGATCCAACTAAGGCAGACAATATAGTTCATTGTTCAGCTCCTGAGAAATTAACCAATTCTCGATATACAATTCAATGTGAAATTTTTAGTTTTGGCATGTTACTTTGGGAACTTACTTTTGAAAAAATTCCATATCAAGGTTGGGAAATAGATAAAATTAAGAAACATGTTATTAAAGGCCATAGAGAAAGAATTACATTCGAAATTTCAACTCCTGAAAATCAAAAAATCAAAAAAATTATAAATGATAGTAAGTATTCTTTTTTTTTTTTTTATAATAATAAATAAGTTATTATTATTAATATTTTGAGGAGGATTTTAATGTTTATTCTTTAATTTTTTATATTCATAGCCTGGAAGCAAAATCCACAAGAACGTATCTCTTTTATGAAATTATTAGATATGTTAGAAGAACTACATAATTCTATTCGTATGAATCCAACAGATATACTTCGCGATAAATCCCTAGATTCGTCAAAGTATATTAGTAATGCTGATGCTGATTTAGAATTACCGGATGAAGTTATTAGTCCTGTTATTTTTAAACCAGTAATTTCATTAGAAGAAGGTATAAAAGCTTTTAAAGCTGAAAAACATCAAAAAGCATGGGAGTGTTTCGACTTTCATGCGAAAAATAATAATACAACAGCAAAATATTGGAAAGGTCGTTATTTGTGGGAAGGATATCTTGATGGTATTAAAGAACGAGAAGAAGGCAAAGAATTATTTAAAGAAGCTGCAGATGAAGGAAATTCTGACGCTCAACTACGTTACGCTTTTACTTTATTAAATAAACTTGAAGAAGAAAATAATCGACAAATATTTTTGGAATATCTCAAAAAAGCAGCTGGTGAAGGAAATAATCCTACCGCACAATTTAATTTAGGAGATATATATTATAAAGGAAAATGTAATATTCCAAAGGACGAATATGAGGGAATTAGATGGTTAATGAAGGCTGCTTTACAAGATAATGAGAAAGCAACTAATTTATTGAATCAATTAAACATTGATGTTTATGATATTGAATATTCATAATATTAGATGTTAATAGTTAGCGTAATTAGCGTTAGGAATTATTTCAATATTTTATTTTTTTTCGTATAATTATTTTCTATCAAATATAATTCTCTTTTATAAAGTCCAAACACAAACTTTTAAAGTCAGTATATAAGTCAATAACCATCAGCCGTAATAAATTTAATATGAATTATTCGACAAATAATAACGACTTAGGGTGTGAAAGGTCCGGTTAAAGTCCCAGGGCTTATTGATCCCGATACATGGACGGACTGAGTTCGGACTGAATTCAGACTATTGCTTTTTATATTTAATTCAATAAAGAACAATAATAAATTTAATTATTTTTCTTATTTTATTTTATACGTTGGAAAACAATAAAAATAAACATTTACAATAAATATTTATGTGATTAAATTAGACGGATTATTTTTATTAGACAGATTATTTTATTATTTATATAGAGACTGATTTGGGACCCAGTCCTGCTAAGTAGTGATTGTATCCGGTCACCGTTAAGGATTTTCATATCCGGATATCTGTTTTAAATAAACCGGATAGCATCCGTTAATTTCGCGGATTGCTAAAGGATTTTTTAATGGTTTCTTAGAGGATATCTGAAATAATCCGTCAATATCATGTATCAATCGTATAAATTTTAAAGCCAAGTAATTTAATTAGTATTATTGTTTAGTAAGAGTTAAATAAAATAAAAAAGAAATCAGTCACGGACGAGTTTGAGTATAAGTAAGAATATAAAAAAATAACGGACGATTTTCGACTGCGTATGAAATTTTCATACGCAGCCATACCGCATAGTATACTGCTAGAATTATGTGATATAACTGCATGACTGCAAATGAAAAATTCAAAATGAGTTTGACGGTCCGGGCAGATATTACCATGCGTATGACTGTATGAAAATTTCATACGCAGTCAAAAAATGAATTAGGTGGTCCGGCTGGTCCGTTATTTTCGCAAATAGCTGTAAGTCACAAACAAAAAAAAACGAGTGTAGCCAGATCACGTGATAGTTATCCGGATACCCGTTAGGGTGTCCAGGATTTGACGTCGTGATGGCCCAAAAATCAGGCGTGAAAAATCACAAAAATCGTGAAAATCGTGATCCATAATTTCAGCCAGAATTACCATAATTCTGGCCAGAATTAACATAATTCCAATTATGAAAAACTTTTTAATAATTTATATTCTATACAAATTTTATTTATTTATTTACAATTAAGTAATAAATTTATACATTTATATTATTCATAAATCATCAATTCATTA